TTAGATGAGTGAGGGAAAAGCGACTATTCGGGTTTCATTATGGAATGAAATTCCGACTGGTTGTCCAAATTCCCCTTGGACCAGATTCCAAGTTTACGCCCGAACGAATCGACCCGCGCATTGTGGTTTCGGTTTAGGGTGACTCCTGCGAGTCACGCCGGCACTTTCGTCAGACTCACGGGGCATGGGGGAGCGTATTCGTTGCCCGGACCCGACGCGAGACGCTCGGGGAGGACAAGTTAAGCCCGTGCCCTTATATGTAAGCGAGTCATAGCGATTACCTTAGCGACTACCCCCGCCCCTCTCACGAAGAGACACTAGCACTGCATTACTAGCGTACCACTGCGTCGTGCGGTAGCTGCGGCGACAGGCACTCCGTTTTCCCGACGCTCCCCTCAAAGGGTGTGCGACGTCTAGACCCTGTCCTCCTTATGGGCTGGGGTCGTCTAGGAGCGTCATAAAATATTTGGGTATCCAGAGTTTGTCGGTCTCGAAAGTACCCGTCGACTTTACTTGACGTGTAGATCCTCAGCGTTTGGGGACTAACCTTTCTGGGGACCCTGAATGTAGTGCGCTGGTCCTGTACTTGCGGTTGACGTCTCGTCGACCGCAGTGCCTCTTCCGCCGACACACACGCCAACGGACATGTGCTGCCTTCCTTCCGCAGTTCATAGGTAGGGGGAGGTCGACGGCGCTCTCGGACGGCCGAGTAAGTTAGCCGACCTCGACTCATATTGCAGGTGATGGGTCTATTTGCTATCAGGACTCTCCCTTCTCCTGTCCGAGAAGAAGGTATAAATAAGTACTTGGTCCGAAACTGTCTACGTTATGCTCTACATCGGGTCCAGACAGTTTCGGCTGAAGGAGAGACCTCGTCTCCGCGTCGTTTATCGTTCCCAGCAGTCTCTTTTGGTGTGAGGGTGTACTGGCCGAAGGAGAACACATCGACCGAGGTCGGAAGAGTATTGTGTTTTTACGCTCCTTCCCGGGTTCCTTTATACGGTTTGCCGTCTTGCTAATCAGACGAGACTATAGGACTTACTCTTTTGCGTCCTAAAGGACACAATACGCCTACTACCCATACGCACCTTGCATCGTACGGAAGTCCACCTGTGCACTTGGTTCAGCATGGGACCACTTTTGTAAGCGGTGCGTTCGGGACAAAACTAGCAAAGTCGTTACACCTTATGCCTGTCTAGCTCCTACAGAGTAAGGGGGGTCAAGAAGAAAGTCCTAATCTTTTTATTGCCCTCACTTTGGGGGACAAAAAGGACGGATTAACCCTTTGGAGCTTTATTAGAGAAAGTGTCCTCAAGCGTCGTCGAGCTAACCTCGCGTCTGTACCAAGACCCTATGTTGTCCTCCAAAGGACATAGGGTAACTTTGACACCCCCCCCCCCTACTCTCCCCCGCTTTGACGTTCCTGCATAGGAGGACGACTAGTCCGGGACGAGTAGGTAGACAGGTTAGGTCTGTGTCGCGCGACCGGTGGACTCTTATTTGTGGGGGGGGGGGCCCACCTTGCGGGTGGGCGTGGACTACAAGTGTTTCAGTGCTGCGCGGGTGTGCAGGGGGATTACCCAATAGCGATAGCCATAGAGGGCTTCGCCATCTACTCATAGAAGCTGGGGTTACAGTAGGTAACCTCAGTTATGTGAGCTCTGTTGCAAAAAAAAACAACAACAACAAAAAGGAAAAATGTAACTATACCTGCGAACGACCAATCAGGCAGATCGGTCAGAGGGCCGTATTCTGAGCCACTTTTAGAAATTCCATTTCTGCAAGCAAAGAAACATTATGACATTAGAAATCATTCAACACAGTAAGAGAAATGAAAACCTAAAATGAGGACAAAAATGTGAACGACTAATACAAAACACAGAAAAAAAGGAAAACACAATAATATAGTATTTTGACATAACTGTGAAAGGAAACCATGACAGCGAGCTATCAGAAATAAATAGCAGCACAATGAAACCAGCTTTTCTAAATGAATCAGTCATTTGAATAATATAATCCATTACACTTGTACTGTTCCTACTATAACAAACCAACATGTCTGCTGTGAACAAGGTATGTTCTGATGCAGATTTAGTGTACAACAACATCACATAAAGTACAAATGTTAAATAGGACTATGCATGCCCATATCTCGTGTAGAAATGGCTAGTTGAGCAATTACTATATCATTATATAGTCAACCCCTGCTTCAACACATGATTAAGGAACACAGCATCAGTGTCAACAGTACACTTACTCTTTCCTCCATTTCTCTCCACCCTGGACTCCACATGTTGTGCTGAACTGCCTGCTGGAGAGCCTCAGCACTGAGGAACAAGTGCAGAAACAAAACAGTCTCTAAAGTCACCTCTGGATTCTCATAAACGCCATTAACATCGTGTGGAATAAAAGCTGCTAACTTAAAGAGTTTGCATTACAGAACTGTTAGCATCACCGTTAGCATCGATGCTCGTTACTGAATTTACAGCGATTCATCAAACAAACAAGCTGTATTACAGGTATAGACGAGTACACAAATATATTTACAGCAACAACGCTTAACTTTAAAGTTTGAATGGGTCTTAAAACAGCTTATTTAGTGAATAACCTCTGTCTTGTCTCACCTGAACTGCACAATGTCCTCACGGGGGCCGCCATGTTGTGTGCACTCTCCTGTGATGACCACCAGAGGGCGCTAAAGACGCACCAAAAGTCAAGAACTACCACTAATATTTATTTTAAATGTCCACCCTTAAAACCTTTAATTGGGGTTTTGGATAAACTACATTATTCTTTTGAGAAAATGCTTACACGTGAAACTCAATCATAACAAAAGTTTCCGAAACAATACATTGAAAAGCCCATTTATTTTTTACAGAATTGTTTTTCTAATGGGTCTCTCAACTTAAAAAAAAGTACTTTGAACTCGTTTTTAAAACAGGTACAACTTTTTAATTAAGAAAAAAGAGAAAAAATAGGGTGATATAACAAGAATGACTCCTCTCTCAATAACCTATTTTATGTAAAGGACAACATAAGGCCAATGTAAGCAAATGTCTTATTGTCTGGAATTCGGATAGACTTAAAAGTAATTACTTTCATCTTGACAGGTTCAAATAATGAAACAGATCATAGTTGTGTTAATGTTAAATGTTGTGTTTGCATGTCTGCCCTTTGAGGAAATAATTACACACATGCACTCTAATGGGCTACGATTGAGACAGATGAAGGAGAGGACTTCATGGAAGCATTATGGGCTGTAGACATGACTGGGGGAGCAGAAATGCAGACAGAGCCGTGCCGCTTTTCGCAGCTCTTCAAAGTATTGTTTTTGTATGAAGTGCTCCGCTGCTAAGCCCAGAAGAATTTCTCTGTTAGCTTTTCAGGCAAGTTCCCACTCGCTGGCTGTGAGGCAGGAGTCTGCAGAGGCTGCTGCAGGGACTCCGCTCAACCGCAAGGGCCGTGAAAGGCTCCATGGAAAGGGGCTCCAGGGCACACAAAAAAGCCGGTATGCCTATTTAAACACACCAGGACAAACACAAGCTACTTGATCAGGGTTTGTTGTGTTTTGGTGTGTCCGTTAACTGCCACAAACCGGCCGGATACCAGGTCTGAGTAATGCTGGTCAGTCCTGTAATAGCAGCGGGATGTTTACCCTGAATCCTCCTTGGAGAACTCAGACACGCCGAAAAAATTCACCAGCTGCCTCACTCAGCCGTGCCCCTCCGCACATTCCACAGGCTGGTGGTACAATAAAGTAGTGCCGTTGCCTAAACGACGCAGTTCTTTCAATGATTTAAATGTAGTGAAGAATAACAATGATATAAAATGTTTAAAACAATAGTAGTAATACCACAATGTAAAAAATACCCCATTATACAAGTAAAATGCTGCTTAGTAACTAAGATAATATGGGGTTATATTTTGTACTTGTTATATTATTATATAATGTTATTACTATTTTTGTGTGGACAGCATTTTAATGTTATGGCTGGTTGTCGTGGAACTAGTTTTTAACTTTTTAATATGATGTTGGGTACATTGGCTCATATTTATTAAGATTGCATATGTTTTGTGTAAAAAAGGTTATTTGCATAAAAGCTAATACATATAATTTACACATTAACGTATTAGAGTAATCAAATAATATGATTTTCATATTTCTATCTTGACAAAAAGTATCAAGTAAAATACAGAGGTAATAGAAAAAAGGTAAAACACTTCCACAGACTTATTGTTTAAGAAAATAAGGCATGGTTTCTTGAATTTACTTTCTTGAATGTACGTTTATGGATATGGAAGTGGCCCATTATAATAACATGATTAATGATTTACACACGAGTGCTTTTCTGTGAATTATTTTCCAGGAGACCAATCAACACATTCCTTCAAAGCATGTAATAATTGATAAAACACATAAGATTTGTCAGAAAAACCTTTACAATTGGCTTTTTTTGCACATTCCTAACATAATCTACACAATTCACACCAATGTTTTCTTTTAACTGTTATTTTTAAGAGAGTTTTTTAAAATCTTGGTGGAGGGGGCACATCCTCTGGGGGAGTTTTGCGTATGAATGACGAAACAGCCATGGCTGGTTGAAAGGTGTTCCGGCGCTGTGGGGGAAACGAGCCGCCGCTGACTGATAAAGGAGCAGTGGTGTGTCAAGCTCAACATCGCGATACTACGCCAAGGGACGTTTGTTCAGTGATTCCACCTTCAAAATAAGAGCAATGTTTACTGACGCTTTCAAACTGCGAGCTCAAATAACCATTTGGGAGGCACATACTATAACATGGTGTCTCAATAATACACAGCATTAATATATGTTATGTAATATAACAAATACAGCTGTAACACGATTCGAAAGATGTTCTTGTTCTCGAAAATATATAGCGGTTGCTAGTAAAGAGTTTATTTTGAAATGTGTAACCGGAACTATCTCTATACGCCGTAGGCAGCTTGATACACTTGCAAAAAAAGAGGGGGAGGTAAGTAATTATTTAGGGGGAAGAAAGAAAGAAACAAAGTTGTCGACTGAGCAATGCACACGGGGAGGGATTTTATTTATCTCAAACAAGTCGTTTAGTCCAGCTCCGGTACTCTGGGATGTAACTGTAACCGGTTTCCTTCATTTCCTTCTCTCTCCGCAAACTTCTCCGCTACTCTTTCCACGGGATTTCTGCTCTGAAAACGGGAATGATAAAAGCAGCCGGATGGACGGACGGACTGAGGGGTCTTTATAGCGAGAGCCGTATGTGTGTTTCCTGTTGCCTGAGTTTAAGTTAAACATAGTATTTACCATTTTTTTTACCGAGCACACTTTGCCCTGAAATGAATGGCAGAAGTGGACTTTCTGTGCACAAACGGATTTATTTTTCCTGTCTACACCGGAGCCACATGAAGTGTGCATCCCGCTGAACCTCTGCGCTTTGTGTTTGAAAAAAGAAAAGAAAATTCAACAGAGACACCCCCTCACCGCACTGGAGATATCAGAGCGACTTTCCTGAAGGTTATTTCCCACAGTTTGACTAAAAGAGAAGATGCAGATGTGGAGCCACATGAGGGTCCACAAAGGAGGCCCTCCGCGACCATAGGTCACACCGAAGTGTCCTGGATGTATGTTTTTCCTATTTCCTGCCTGGATTGACTTGAACTATTAATAATTGTCTAGTAATCCAATGGATTATCCTACCTGTGCCTGTGGGTTTTCCACATGAGGGCCAACTAGAAGGCGTTAGTCATGTAAAAACCTGAAATGTCTTAAAAGTCTTATTTATCTGTTTTGTATTTATTGTGTTTGTGTATATAAGGGTCCTCTTTTAAAGGCCAGTTTGTTTTATTTCTAAGTGAGAATAAGAGACTGCCATTTCATTTTTCGTAGTGAAAACTGTAGATTTACTTGAACATAATTGTGTTTTCTATCTACCCACACTGTATTTGAGAACATTGATCTGTAATTTAAAGAGCGACTGTGCCCAGACAGGTGAAAAAACGACAAGGCTCCATCATGGACAGGCCGATCAGCAAGTTACTGGAGAAGTTAAAGCTTACAGACTCGGGCAGTGTGAAATTCAACAGTTCAAAGAAAAAACATGACTCTGCCAACAACTCTAATAACAGCAACGCTAACACTGGCAGCTCTGGAGGCGGTGGGGGGGGCCCCGGTCTGCCACCGGCTCCCATCTCTGCCTCGCCCTCCAGACCCGGCCAGTTCTCGCTTGCCTCTGCAACCACAAGCGACGCATGTGTTCCTGCAAGTGGGAGAGGAGGAGGGGGGGGAGGAGGAGGGATGGGTATGCCTCCCTCTCAGCTCCTCTCCCCACCGCCTACTTCCTCCTCCATACCTCAAGATGGCGAGCAGCACCCCTCCACCCTGGCTCCACTGAGGCGCCGCTCCCCCCAGCAGAGAGCGTCCTGCTACCTGGGCGAAGGCGCGGACCTCCACATGAGGAGGGAGTCCGGCCTGGGCCCCGAGTGTGACATCTTGGGGGCGTACGGCTCCAAGACGTCCCTCAACCAGCGGCGCTACTCCCTGGAGCTCCAGCAGCTGGTCAGGCGGCGGCTGGGAGAGGAGCGGCTTTTCTCCGCCCCCCCGCCGTACCCTGCCTCCATGGGCTATGGTTCGGCTCCCAGAGGTGGCCTGGCAGAACCGGGCTACCTCTCCGAGCCCGAGAGACACAAACGCCTCTCTCTCCAGGAGGCTCTGTTCTACAAACGCCTGAGCACGGGCAGCGAGCTGTGGGAGAACCCGAGGCCTGCGTCCCTCTCTAACCCCCCGCACCGCTCCTCTGATGTTCCTGGAGGTGTGGGAGGGGGGTTCTTCTACCCTCCGGGACCCACCCTGAGCCCATGCTCTTCATTCAGCCTGCAGGAGTCGTTGCTGGTCAGCCCCCGGTCCAGCTTCGCCTCCAGCACGGCCAGCGGCGGGGGTGGGGGGAGCCCAATGGGGAGTCGCTGCAGCAGCAACCGGACCAGCGGCATCAGTCTTGGCTACGACTCTCGCTACTCGGCCTCTGGAGGATTCCCCCTGCAGCAGCAGTCCCCCTCCATGCAGCCCGGGGGTCCTGCGTCGGGGTACGGTCCAGGGCGGTCCGGGGTGACCCCTGTGGAGGCCTGGACCCAGTACCTGGAGGGGGGGATGCGTCCGGGGGCGTACGACAGCCGGCACTCCTACCCCCCGGCTGTTGGGAGTCCCGGTGCGGCGTGCTTCCAGGCGGGCCCCGAGTGGTGGGTCGAGCAGCAGGCGGAGGTGAGGGGCAAAGAGGGAGACAGGGCCCGGTACTCAGACCTGCCCGGGACGCGGTACCAGGAAGAGCTCACCAGACTTCTGCTGAGAGACAACGCTCTGGCGGGCGGGGGGCTCATGGAGGGCCTGGCTCTTTCCAAACCCAGCTCCACGGTGGGGCCCTGCTCAGCCGGGGGGCCCCTCAAACCTCAGGAGGAGCCAGGTGGTGCTGGGAGGGAGGGCGTGGAGAGCCGGCAGGAGTTCTTTGGTGAGATGCTTTCTTTTAATATTCAGGGTTCACTTCGAAAAGGGAGAAATTAGAAGGTTATCAGAAGCATTTAACACACATTGTCCAATCACATAGCGTCCTCCCTCAGCGTGTTATTAGTGTCCCCCTCACCGCCTGGTCTCAGATCTCTCTAAATGAAAGGCTTGTATGGATGGACGGACAGATTAATAGTTGAAAGAGTGTATGGTAACTGGGAACCTGCAGGGACACGCAGCGTTGTAGCACGCGAAACATAAAGGAGAAACTTCAGAAACTGATGCAGGCAGGTGATTGGCTGAAGAGAAGAAAGGAAAAAGATGAATTCACTCATTTAGATTCACACCTGTGGCCACAAATCAGCTGATGTTTCAACAGCGTGCCGCACATGGGCTAACGCAGCGTAGCAACACGGCTATTAAAAGTGCAGAATTCTGCCGTTACACTCAACACACAAAATGACATGGTTCCATCCAAACACAGCTCCAACCATTACTCTGAGTCACACAAGGTTAGGGCTAAGCATCTGTGTGTGTGTATTGTTTCTCTGTGGCAGGGTGTGTTTTTCCCTGAGTGACTTCAGGCCACAGTAACGCAGTGTGTGTGTGTCAGTGTGTGTGTGTGTTTGTGTGTGTGTGTCCTGGTGTGTGTAATGCTGCCTTGGCGTGTGCAGGGGGGTGTGCTGCAGCCTGTTTTTCTGCTCAGGTATGTGCGCCCGGAGGGGACATGCAATACTGTACTGCTCTCAGCCATTAGGAAGAAGTCAGGGGCTGTGAGCCGTGAAGACAGACGCGTTCACACACACACACACACACACACACACACACACACACACACACACACGCTCACCTATAATGCAGTTTGAGGCTTTAATTGCACTAAAAGGAAAGTAAAAAACGAAAGATGTAGACCTAGAAAGTAGGAAACGATAAAGCTTTTCAGGGATTTTTCGTTAGGTAACAAGTTGAAAATCGTTTCTCTTAATGATTTTGTTCCACCTGTTGCAAAGAATACACACAAATATGTCGCCTCGTGTCTTTTTGAGTCAGTTTTCAGTACGCACATTATCAATTATCTTTATCATTATGTGCAAAAGTCCCTATGTCACCAATTCCTCACGTTTTATTGAGGAACCAGCCGCACACATTACATTTAAAGCTGGGATTGTGCGTCTTTTTGGCTTGGGCAGAGACTTGTGCCTGTTCCTAAATATCAGAAAGGACCGACTAAAAGTATAGGAATTCTCAAATTGTGTGGCACTCCCTCAGCCACAGAAGAAAGGGGGGAAAACGCGCAGGCAGATCTCTAAATAGATCACAGGGAAAGGCTGCAGCTCGGACCACCGCAGCACTTTTCCACTTTTCATTTAGTGCCCTGAACATGTACTTAGGCTCAACTGAGAAACACAGGGAAGTTAGTCAACTGTAAGAGCCTTAAGTTGTTTTCTTTGTCTAGTTTCGAACTAGAAAAGCTTATTTATTTTACTGTTATCATTTGGGTTCTTATATCTGACACCAAAGAAGAGATGAAAGGTGTGTTGGTGTTTAAAGATGAGGTCAGACTGTGGAAAAGAAGCATCTGTTTCATTGACTGTAAATGGGGTAAAAACAATTATCTGCCATTGGATAACAATTGAAAGGAAAAAGCCGTCACGTTTGTAATGGACTTCTTCTTCTTCCCCCCTGAGGTGGTTTCAGCTCCTCACATCAGGCAGCAACCACATCTAATCTCCAAAATGGCTCCAATTGGGGGGTTTTAAAGTCACAATTTAAAAGGGAAGTCTTTAATGCAAAACTCCAGAATAAAGAGTCTGGCACAGAGTCAGATCCGGTGGAGTTTCCCTTTAATAACAGAGCGTGAACACCGTGGAGTGGATGAGCAAACAGGCTGGCATGGGGAGAGGGCTTTAACTGTGTGAAAATCCCCTAGGTGGTGCGAACGAGAGGATTTACAAGTGTTGACACTCTGTGTGGAGTTGGGTTTCAGACACATCCTCCAGGAATGTGTCGTAAACCAAGTGTTAGGAGCCGCTGAGCGATTTACTCCCCGACTAAATGAATGTTTGTTGTGTC